ATATATATATATATATATATGGACATACATATGGATGGATGGATGGATGGATATATACATACATGGTCACTATTTTGCGAATTGCGCGTGATTGGCGATGAACTTGGCTCGAGACACGACCGTATCTCTTGATAGTGAAGGAAATATAAAAGAAATGTAAAAAAGTTAGTTAAGAATTAATTTCTTTTTCTTTGAAGATGTTTAATCTCCATTATACATAATCTAAAACGGTAGTCCATATTATTGAAATGGTTCACGCTCTGAAATGAAATTTATGAATAAAGAAAAAATTTACATGTTATTAATCAACAGAGAATATCTCTGAAATATGTACTCAATACACAGAATATTTATTCGCAATGATTTTCTCATCAAAATCATCTACTTGTACTTTTTCAAATATTCTAAAACTATTCAAATATCTGAAAACTTTTATTGCAAGTTAAACATAATAGAGTAAATACTTATTCTATTCAGCATTAAATGCTTCTTTAATTTTCGTAAAAGAATGTTGGATGATTTATATAAAAAACAAAAAGCCATCTCTTCATAGCTTAGCATATAAAAAAATTATAAAAAAAGTAATTATTATCTCGTGTATTCTTGAAACTATGCAATTTTTGTTTAAAACATTTTTCCGTACAGTAGTTTATAAGTAATTCAAGGTGATGATTTCAAGTACCTGATCCTATATGATGTGATTTACAACAATATGAAATAAATTTTAAGATACATTTTATTTTCTTAAATCTAAGAAAATGCTTACGAAAGTGTGTTAATGAACATCATAGGGATGTGACAAAGATTTTTCCAAAATTGTTATTTCTTTTTATTAAATAATATAAAATATATATGTAAAAATTTTTTAAAAATTATTATAAAAGCTAAGCAAATATTCAGTTAATTTATCTTTACAGAGTATTTAATTTATATAAAATATAATTATTCATATAATGTACAATTATTAATGCAAATGTTAAAAACGATAAAGTATTTTTAACAAACAAAATTTATATTTACAGACATCACACAAACCACAGTAGACCGCCAATCTATGCGAATATTCCGCCACCGATGAATTTATATCAACAATTTCATGGTGAGTTATTTTATTTTTATACGCATGCATCTTGTGTTAAGAGTCGGTAATACATCTATTAAGCATGTAAAATTGCGATTAAAGAGATGAGAATACCGAAAAATATACTGAACTTATATTTACACAAGTAATTTTGTTGATATACACTGTGAATTGCACTCTTAATTTTCATTGATCTTTGAAAACTCGAAGATATTTATTATCCAATTGCGAATATATTTTTAACAAATTTGTAGCCATAACACTTCAATTATGACTATAGCTAGAAACTATATTTTAATTATATAGTTTTTGAAAGACTAAAGATACTACTAATACTCGCTTTTTCATTCGAAATTGAAAATTGCACGCAACATTTTTATTTCATTTTTGTACTATTAACATAAAAATTAGAAAAAGAATTTAACTAGAGAATACGCTCGATTGACGAATCAAAATTAGAGGAGTCAAACTGTGTTAATTTTTAACACAAATATCGATTAACAGATGCTAAAGTGTTATACGCAGTTCTGAATCACGCACGAATAATTTGTTATGTATAATGTGCCCAACCTAAAAATGTTCAGTAAACATGAATCTAATGAATGTTAAGAAGTATATGCTGTCCAGTATTAGATTCTTTACATATCATTAGATAAAATTGCCGTTTTTCTAGTTTCAAATAAAAAGCATACAGTACAATATATCATAAGACTGACGTAACACTTGACAGTCTCATAATGTGTTACGCGTCCCTGCTTGTCCGCTATACCGGACTTGTGAGCAAACTATTTTCCTTTATAACTCAAAAACTAACCTTTGGACAAAATTTTGCTAAAGGAAAAACCGTCTTAGAAATCGTTTAAGAATGTGACATTTTGAAGGACATCAGATTGTTTTGAATCACCCTGTATATTAATTTATTTGACCTATCTGGTGACTCACAATCAGAAATTAAAAGGAAATAATTTACAGATTAATAATATATTGTTGAAACTTTTGAATAGGTTTATGATACATAAGACGTATTTACACTGATAATGAAATGAAATACGGTGCGAGGATGGAAGAAATTAAATTAGAGGATTGAAGAATCATCGCGTGATAATTATCCTAACAAAAGTGTTTCACAATTAGTCAGTAGATCAACTTTTTTTTCTAATTAACAATAAGACTAATTTTTATTTATTTATTCCATTAATAAATATAATACCGAAACTAGAAGAGTAAAAATTAAAGCACGTACAGAATTCTCCAGATTCTGCGGCGTCAAATAAAAGCTACTTAAAAAATTTCAGAATTTTGTGTTTAATTACAATTTAATGCAGTAATTTTAATGAGTGATATTTAAAAATTCAATATTCTAATAATATTTAAAAACCTGTCTAAAATAACAACCAATTAAAATACTTAAATTGAATTTTGATAAAAATAATATAGAATTAAAAACATTCACTATTAAATGAGCACATTAACGTATACAAGAACCAGAGTTAGTAGAATATACGCTGATAATGCGAAGATTCACGAGGTGACTATTGCGGAAATCATTTAAAAAGAAACGCGTTAGTACCTCATGGGTGACATGGAAATCTGAGAACTCACTTATTTATTAGATAGTGTCGCTCTTAATGCTCGGTGGCGCTGGGCCTAGCTACTATGGTGCACGCAAGAGAAAAGTGAGCATTAACTACGAAAATCGCCTTACATTAGATGTACAATTAATTCTGAGCACTGATCTAATCAATGCATCATGCATTGGTTTTGCTTTGAAATGTTTGAAAAAAGATGTACAATCATGTACAATCTTGTACAATCATGAATGATCCTAATGTAATGCAAAACACCGTATTTTATATAAGACCACATTCCGCAAAGATTGATGAATTTGAGGATTTTCTCTAGAACTTAGACAATTTTAACCTTCAGAAATGAGTTCAGTGGGTGTTAAAACGTAAAAGAATATAGATTTTGAAGGTTTTGAAATACTCGTTTTTAAATACTAAGTTAAGGGTTTCAAATCCTTTAAACATTCGAAGAAATACACATATAAAAAATGTGTTTCTTACTTTGCATTATTCTACATGTCCAAAACTCATGAAAATCAGAAGAAACTTTAAATTTTTTTTTAAGATATTATTGCTAAATAATAGCTGCAGTACTTGAGATGATCATATTTGACACTAGAAATGTAATGGACATGCAATATCTCGGAAACAAATATCTCAAAATATGAAACTTAAGACAATCTCCTGAAAAGTCATAATTTTAAAATTTTATATAACTTTTCAGGAATGTCCTATGTATCAAATTTTAAGATTATAATAATGTAACTTATGGTTCTTCGAAAACAAATAATAATAAAAAAGGTTATAAGAATCAAAAGCGCGGATGATGAAGCGCAAAAGATATTATAATAATGTGATTTTTTCGTATATTAATTTGTAATATCTATAGCGCTTCAGTATATATATGCAATGTACTTTTGGTTTTTATATCCTTTTTCGTTATTCTTTCAAGATTATAACTTTCGCGCGGGACATTATCCTATGCATCAAATTGGGAATATCTTATTTTTTACTTTTAATTTCCACTTTATTTTCTCTTCTAAATAAAAAAAGAAAATTTTTAAGAAATATTTAGTAATCATTATTTCATCTTCTTTATCTCTATGTCCTCTGCAATCAAAGGATAAGGAAGGCATGACATGTTGCTTTGCGTTGCTTTTGTAATATAAAAGTGGGTGGCGGTGAGCCATTGCTAGATGAACAAATGATGAATCGGTTAGTCAGGGGTGGTATTGACTGATGCAAAAGGCTCGGAAGCTAGCAGGGTTGGGGTGATTGGGAGGAGGAGTGAGGGAGGCGGGGCGTAAAGCCGAGGGGCCCTTAACCCTGGATTAGCTTCGAGGGTAGTTCGTCACGTAGAGCGTGACTCCGGCCGTTTTGTTGTTTGGCACGTCGAAGCAGCGACGGTTCCCTGGTTTTCGCCCAATTATAAAACAAACGCGACGCACTCCGTAATTATCCAATTAGTACATGCCTACCTCGTACCCCCCCTTGTAGATCACGTTCTCGGTCTCCTTCTCATCTCCCCCCTTCTTTCACATTTTCGTTGTGTTTTTTTTGATGTATTTGTTCGTAGCATAGAAGCTGTTTTATATTAGAATGTGTGCAAAAATGATAGAAAATAAACTGATAACTTGAGAAAAATTGATTTATAATAAGTTTTTTTATCGAGCTGTTAGGATGTCTCATTTAATATAAAGATCTAAAATATTTTAAAATTGGATGGAAATATAAATAAATGTTTCAAACAAAAGTTGTAAGATTTGTAGGAGAATAAAAAAAAATATTATCGATTTCACTCTAAGTTGCTCTCTGAATATCACCTTTTATCTTTTATATAAAAACCTTTATTTTTTATTTTATATTTTTATATGCTGATGTCGAGATGTTTTCAAAATGATGAGTATTTTAACGTTAAAAATGATCTCTTTTTCGTTCAAAACTTTCTATGTATTTTGCATTTTATTTTGATATTTTTTTATATCAAATATGAAGTATCTTGGCATTAACTTTCTAATAGCCTCATTTTAATATTTTTATGCGTGGAATAACAAAAGAAATCCATACATAAAAGAAAACAAAAAAAAAACGATAAATTTTTTTTTGCATTTTGTAAATATACGCTCTACAAAATTACAAATGCAAAAATTAATATAACCAAGAGTAACTCTTCTTTTTTCTTCTTCAGCTTTATGTAAAATATATTTTTCTATCTGTATAACAATTCTGAGACATTTCAGATGTTTATTTAAAATAGGACACGCTGTATATTTTCCAGTCTTTATTTATATCTGGGACAAGAAATTTTTATGAAAAGATATTGAGAAAGACACATAGCAGTGGCACTATTTTTACTTTGAATGAATAAAAGCAATAGTACTTGCTCTATTTTATTTACGTACTTAACTACTAATTTTTTTTTAAATTTGTAATTTTTTTGGTTTTTTGTAATTATGTATTATATTCTATTTATAATATTATACATTGTGTTTTTTTTATACATAATACTTTACTCTTGTATTTTTTGTTACGTCTCCATTCTAACAACCGACTGTCTACTCATGAACATAAAAACAAAGCCTTATATGAAGCTCGTTGGATGTGTGTGATTGATTTACAGAGGGGAGTAAATGCCACGCACAGACAAAAGCGAGCTCTCAAGAGAGTAAGTGTTGAAGATATGCAATGGTCTTTCCGTGAAAAATGTTAGAGAACATAACTATTATGATAATGTTTTGACTATCGATAAGTTACGTTATTGTAACATTAGCGTAATAATTATGTGAATATTTATCACATTGTCAACCATTAAGATAGCAACAATGAACAACAAATTAAACTTTGAGTAATCTATTTCAAATCAATATTTTTGACAATTGATATATATAAGTTGGTTAAATGAATGGAATTACTAATATTACTAATATGGAATTATATAATATTAAAATAAACAATCTATCATTATATTTGAACAACAAATGCTACATATTTCTATTATTGTTAAAAGAATATTCTTGTAGAAACACAGAAATGCGAGCAGAAGCGTAGATTGAAAATAAGAAACATAAAAGTAGATAAAAATAATAAAATTAATATAGCAAGAACGGATCTCCAATCGTGCACTCCGATCGGCACGATATGTTGGAGCATGTACAGAGAAAATTTTATATTAAAAATTACTGTAATGTGGCAGTAGCTGCAGACCATCAAGGAATTATAAATTTAAATGTTATAGCCATTATAAAAAATACATTTGTTCAAATTGCAAAAATTTAGAAGAGTATTATATTGGATGAGGGCAAAAATTTTGATGGGTTTCGCGATAGATATCATACTTGATGCAGTTTTATGCCGAACGCTGATAAATATGTTGATATGTTCATACTGTTGGAAAGATTACAATCGCTCAATGTTATTAATATTCTGGTATATCAAAACTGAGCGCGATAAGGA